CATGTGAACTGGCCTTGTGGCCTTAAACTTGTGCTCGGAATGTGTGGTGACTTTGTGATCCACCCTGAGCTTGCTTTGCTTTGCTTGACTGGTCTTGTGACCCCTTGTTCTCCCCCACTTTGCCTATGGGGGTGTGTCAGATTTATATGACATAGCTACTGTAGGCTATAGTGGGGTAGCACATATGGGGTACAGTTTTCTAGGGTTTGCTTTTGTACCCAACTTTCCCTTAGTCAATTCATTCCTCATTTCTTCACAAAGCATTCTCTTTAGGCGGTGTTTTAGTTGTCATAAAATAATATATATAATATAAATGAAAGCGCCTATGATGACCAGAGGCAGGCCCTCAGATTGGTTTTGGGCTAGTCTGAAAATTTAGAGTTGGTACATGACTTAACTCTGAAAATCAGGGTTTTTCCTGCAGAAATACCACTGCACACTAGAAAAAAATCTCATTTTTCCTGTTTTTTTTCTCAAAAAAAAGGCTGAATTTTCAGAGTTCACTTCGAAAAAATGCTGAAATATCAGAGTTACTTAGGCAAATCAGAGAATTTTCTTTGACTTTTGGGGGCCTGACCAGAGGTCTTCACTCTCAAACAGATAAGAGAAGCCAGCATCTAGGTGTTCTAATTGAATTACCATATTGAGAAAGCTTGCTTTCTATTCTTGCAAAGGCAACGAGCTTCATTACAATTGGGGCAACGGGCTTCATTACAATTGCAGTAATACAACATTCTCGTCCAACTATGGATGGATTATACAGATATACAACTAGGGTGGGTGGGTGGGGGGTGGAACTGCAAAGTTCCGAAATGAAGTCGTGGGTGGAGGCCGAATGGCCTCCAGCCCTCGTTATGTACTCGGCGAATTGTAATTCGCCGTTGCTTTGCTTCGTGACAGTCAGCTGCGCTTTCAAAATACGCATTTTTAGAAAGTGTTACACACTTTCGAAAAAAAATCATATTGAGAAAGCTTGCTTTCTGTTCTTGCAAAGGCAACGGGCTTCATTACAATTGGGTCTTCTGAGACATGTGCAGGTGGGGTGTTGAAGACGTGGCGAGTGTAGTTGTGATTGATGGCCTTGACGAAGTGCCGAGAGAGGTGGCGTTGGTAATCGCGATCTCTATGTCGATGACGTTCGAAATGTTGTGTGTGTGAAGGTTGCGTTCTGTTAGTGTAGATGTGCGTGTTTGTTGATGCAGCAGAATAGTGGTTGCAATTGGTGGTTCCCAACCAAGGTCTACACACCCAATGGACGGTACAACTTTTATCTTGGGATTTACCATGTGCTCTGCTGTACTCTACGCTTCCAACCGTTTGAGGTTCGGGGCTATCTACAACGTGGATGTATGGGCTGAGTTGGTAGTAGCGGGAGGGTGTGTCCGTCATTTTGGTTAAATAGGTACTTTTTTTTTTTTTTTTTTTTTTTTTTCACACACGAATTCCGTCTTTAACTCCCAACACCTAAAGCCCATTCAAGTTCTTAACGAGACGCAACTTGTGGTAGCATGCTAGTCGCAACTCCCGTGCTTTTATTTCCAACTCGGGTGCGATCTAAGAGAGTGGGATGAGCATGATGGAAACCAATCCCTTTCTCATTGCCCTTATTTGGAGAGAACATTGAATGCGATGTAGGAGTGTGTGTGAACAACCGTAGTCAAGTCAGATTCAAAATCCATCTTGAGTTGCACTCTACCAACCATTTGTAACCAGGTCACTCCAAACAATTGCTTCCCTGGAAATTGATGGGGCACCAACCAACCTTTGTTTGGCAAAAAATGTTTGAGCCCCCCTTTTTTTTTTTTTTTTTTTTTTTTTTTGAAATCTTATCATATACGGTTACATCAATAGCCAAGGATGATCCATACTAACACACACATTGTTCGAAATTCAGCCCATCTTACGGCAAGCCCAACATGGGGACCCTCGGTCCCCTTCCCCCCCTGGGGGACGGCTCTCAGGCCACACGGGGACCCTCGGTCCCCTTCCCCCCCTGGGGGGCGGCTCTCAGGCCACACGGGGACCCTCGGTCCCCTTCCCCCCCTAGGGGACGGCTCTCAGGCCACACGGGGACCCTCGGTCCCCTTCCCCCCCTGGGGGACGGCTCTCAGGCCACACGGGGACCCTCGGTCCCCTTCCCCCCCCTGAGGGACGGCTCTCAGGCCACACGGGGACCCTCGGTCCCCTTTTCCCCCCTGGGGGACGGCTCTCAGGCCACACGGGGACCCTCGGTCCCCTTCCCCCCCTAGGGGACAGCTCTCAGGCCACACGGGGACCCTCGGTCCCCTTCCCCCCCTGGGGGACGGCTCTCAGGCCACACGGGGACCCTCGGTCCCCTTCCCCCCTTGGGGGACGGCTCTCAGGCCACACGGGGACCCTCGGTCCCCTTCCCCCCCTGGGGGACGGCTCTCAGGCCACACGGGGACCCTCGGTCCCCTTCCCCCCCTGGGGGACGGCTCTCAGGCCACACGGGGACCCTCGGTCCCGTTCCCCCCCTGGGGGACGGCTCTCAGGCCACACGGGGACCCTCGGTCCCCTTCCCCCCCTGGGGGACGGCTCTCAGGCCACACGGGGAGACCCTCTGTCCGCTCTTTTTATTGGGAGACGTCCTTGGGTGCGCGTGCAGCTTGATCCTGTAGTCCATGTAATTTCCCCGCGCGACTAGTAGAGCCTTCTATAAAAGTCTTTCCACCACTGTAGTGTTGGGCCTGATTTTCTGCCACCAAGGGATAAGAGGAGCTTATAGATTAATAGAAAATAAACGAAGAGGACATAACGAAAATAAAACTGAAAGAAAATGACTTGCAGCACTTAGGCAACAAATGACGCCCAGTCAAACGCCTAAGGCGCTGCAGTGGCAATTTCGTCACTGCCGCGCCAGCGGCCATTTCGTCCATGGCGCGCTAGTGGGGATTTCGCCACTGGCGCTCGTGGCAATTTCGCCACATGCGCGCGTGTGCCGATTTCGTCCCTGGCGCGCGCCACTTGCGCCAGTGGCGATTTCGTCCCAATCGCCTGCCACTGGCGCCAGTGGCGATTTCGTCCCTAGCGCGAGCCACTGGCGCCAGTGGCAATTTCGTCACTAGTGCGTGCCACTGGCGATTTCGTCTTTGGCGCGTCTGTTGGCGTTTCGTCCGGCGCACTTCGCTCTCAGTTGAGCGCCCGCTAAGTACAGTCGCACGCGTGATAGTGTTGCCCTTCATGAAATCGATCGCTTGTAGGTGAGTCGTAGTAAGTAGTTCTAGTGACAGAGGAAACTTTCGAGGTGGTTGGACGAGAATGAGTGGAACTGCAAAGTTCCGAAATGAAGTCGTGGGTGGAGGCCGAATGGCCTCCAACCCTCGTTATGTACTCGGCGAATTGTAATTCGCCGTTGCTTTGCTTCGTGACAGTCAGCTGCGTTTTCAAAATACGCATTTTTAGAAAGTGTTACACACTTTCGAAAAAATTCATATTCCTTGAGTCATCCTCTACACACACGTCACGTGCGTGATGCAAGACAGCATGGTAAGAATTTTTCTTCCACCCATAGATGCATTGCTGTCTGAATCCCAACCACTAGACCATTGGGATAAAAGAACTTGTCAAGTAGCGGGTCGGTGCGCCCATACCCCCCCCAGGACAACGAACCTGTAACCCTTCCCTAGGATCAATCGGAGATCGTCAATGGAACTCTGACACCCCCCCCCGCACTGGAATGCACGAGGTTCACACACCGGGATTCGAACCCAAGACATTCGCTCTCAACCACTAACCACTGGGATAAAATGATTTGTTAAGTAGCGAGTCAATGCGCCCATAACCCCCCAGGACAATGGGCCTGTAACCCTTCCCTAGGATCAATCGAGGATGACCAGTGAACTTCGGACATTTACACCATAATTGCCTAGCCATGCTTATAACACAAATACTCCGTTCCAATATATTGTTCCGCTCAACCCACAACCTCAATTGTTCCATAACAACCGCATGCCCATCCATGTACCAGTTGAACATGTACACCCCGTTCACATTTGAGCACACTTGGTGCTCCGGTGCTTGGTCGCAGCCCACGCCAACCGGAAGCTTCCTTGAAGGTGTCCTGCAGGCATGCCCTTGTGTGTAACTTCCACCTTAAAGTCCACATAGGGCTCGCCCTTGTTGGCTCTCAGAGCGTGCACTGCTGGGGCCAGCGGGATGGTTGTGAAACCTGAAAGCAACAAGACAAGGGAGCGGATGGGATTAGGTGCCCTGCTGGCATGCCCTTGTGTGTAACTTCCACCTTAAAGTCCACAAAGGGAGAGCCATTGTTGGCTCTCAGGGCGCGCACTGCTGGGGCCAGTGGAATGACTGCAAAACCTGAAAGCAAATTGACGAGGAAGCAGAAAGGATGTAACTTGTTCAATAGCGTGCAGTGCTGGGCCCACAACCTGAAAGCAGCTTTAGGAGGAGGCAGATGGGATAGACATTTTTCAGTTGACTCGGAAATCGGCCATTGGCCATTTTTCTGCAAAGCCTTGAAGGCAGCAAGACAGGAGGCAGACAGGATATATATTTTTTGGTCAACTAAAACGCCTGCCATTGGATCCTAAAACCTGCACAGCTAGGGCACGGAACCCAGATGCACCTACAGGCCAAATTATGTACAACCATGAGGCTGAGTGACACCGTAGTTGAGAGTATCTATTATAGTGATTGTGACTAATAATGAAGTAAAAAAAAAAAAACAAAAACAAAAAAACGAATGTATGGTAACACCATATTCACGTACCAATGGGGTCGTCTTGGTTTGTGACGTCATGGTCGAGAATGGCTGCCAGCAGATAGTCCCTCTTGAGGCGCCTCACAGTGAGACGATTTTTTAGGTGCCTCAAAATGAGGCGATTTTCTAGGCGCCTCAGAAGGAGGCGATTTTTCAGGCGCCTCAAAATAAGGAGATTTTTTAGGCGCCCCCGAAATCGCCTCAATACTACCGAATGCTGAATTTGGCACCTAACTGAATGCCGAATGCTCACGCGCACCTATGGGGTCGTCTTGGTTGGTGACGTCATGGTCTAGAATGGCTGCCAGCAGGTAGTCCTTCTCATGTGACTGTAACGAGAGGTTCTCCAAGACTATGCTCGACATGTCCTGTGGGAGGTTGAGGGTGGTGGCAGGAGGGGCGAGTGACAGTGGGAAGCAGAGAGCAGCAAGAAGGGCGAGTGAGAAGGGGATGCCTCTCTCTTAATCACACTCACATGCGCACCTTCGCTCACACACTTGTCACGCTCGCACCCTCACACTCACACTCAAATCACACTCACGATCACTATCACCCACCTCCGTCGTCCATACAGGGTTGAGTGTCCTGTAGCGCGGGTTGGTGTGACTGCTGTGCTGCATTGCAAGCTTCTAAGGCCTTGCACCCTTGCACTCTCACACTCACACTCTCACACCTAGTTGCGGAAGACGCTCGATCCGTCTTGCGTCTAGCGTCACCTTTAGACGCTAGATGCTTGGGCTTTTTTTGTTGGGTAGCCCGAATAAAAAAATATCCGCGCGCGCGAAATTGAAATTCGCCATTTCGACGCGAAATTCAATTTCGCGCCATTAGAACCCCTTCCCACCCATTTCGACCATATAAACCAGCCCCCAAGCAATTTTGAATCCCCCCCAACCAAAATTGAACACAAACCACACTTCACCGCTTGGTATCTAGAAAACCCGACCTCTATGGCTAACCACCAAGAGGTTGGGGAGCACAAATCCCTCATTTGTGCTCCCCATCATTCATTTCTTCCAAATCTCTTTCGAAAACCCTCAGGGTTTAGCTAGTTCCTTCGATCCCCTCCTGCAGAAATCTAAGGATGGGGAAAAAGTTATGGTACGGGGAAAAATTGACCCCATTGTGACATACGTGCATGTCCCCCACCCTCCCCATGCCCCATAGATTTTTTTTGTCTGCCCAAACTTTTTTTTAGCCTGCCCGGGCTTTCGTCTAATACTGCGTCTAATCTGACTCATCTAGCGTCTAGCGTCTTAGACGCTGCGTCTAGACGGACGCGTCTTCCGCAACTAAGCTCTCACATTCACCCACCTCCAGCGTCCACACAGGGTTGAGGGTCCTGTTGCGCGGCTTGGTGTGACTGTTGTGCTGCATTGCAAGCTTCTAAGGCCTTGCACCTTGGCACACTCACGCTTGCACCCTTGCAACCACGCAGTCACTCTCACGCACCTCGGGCGTCCACACGGGATTCAGCGTCCTGTTGCGCGGCTTGGTGTGACTGCTGTGCTGCATTGCAACACATCCTCACACTCACAGTCGAACCACACTCACAGTCGAACCACACTCACAGTCGAACCACACTCACAGTCGAACCACACTCACAGTCGAACCACACTCACAGTCACTACCACCCACCTCCGGTGTCCACACAGGGTTGAGTGTCTTGTAGCGCGGCTTGGTGTGACTGCTGTGCTGCAGATTGGGGCCTGTGAAACGCACGTAGCTGGAAGGGGGTGGAGGGAGGAGGCAGGGGGAAGGTGCCTCAAGAGCTTGGTGTGAGAAGTGTGCTGCAGATTGGGTCCCGTGAAACGCACATGGCTGGAGAGAAAAGGGAGGGGGGGGGGGGGGGTTGTTGGGGGGGAGGGGAGGAGGGGAGAAACGAGCAGAACGTTTTAAGGTGCCTCTGAGGCTTAGTGCGACAGCCAGGGAGGAGGAGAGGAAACACAAAATAGCACTCGGGTGAAACACACATGGGTGGAAGGGGGGGGAGTGGGGGCGGGAAGGGGGGGAAGGGAAGGGTTGGAGTGGAGAATGGGAAAAGGGGAAAGAGTATGAGTAGGGTGGGTGCTGTGATGCAGCAGGCAGGGAGCAATGCGGGCGAAAGGGGTAAGTACGAATGGACCAAGGGGTTCACAGGCATCCACAGGGGTTCAGAGGGGTGACGGAGACTCACGGGTCGGAGAGGCCGTTTGCATCAGCTGAGAGGAGATCAGAACCCATGAGGGATGAGAACTGCACGGTGAGGGGTGGGGAGTGGTGAGGGGTGGTGAGGAGTGGTGCGGTGGAGTGGTGAGCGGTGATGAGAGAGGGGGGTGGTAGCGGAGTGAGAGGAGATCAGAGCCCATGAGGGATGAGAACTGCACGGAGGAGAGGGGGAAGGGGTGATGTGGTGGGGAGCGGTGGACATTGGTGAGGAATGGTGCGTGGTGAGAAGAGAGGGGTGACGAAGCACGGCACTGCAGCTTGCCTTGCAAGTGCCATCACCCAGTACCACTCCGTCCCGCAACACCCCACTCCCACCTCCACATGTCACCTGCACATGCCACCTGCACATGCCACCTGCACATGCCACCTGCACATGCCACCTGCACATGCCACCTGCACATGCCACTGGGACGGAGCACTGCGCTGCAGCCTGCGCGCCACACCCATCCCCATCCCCATCCCCATCCCCATCCCCAACATCACATCCCCCACTTTCACCTGCACATGCCCCCGGCATGTCGAGATGAGGCACTGTGCTGCAGCCTGCGCGCCACCGCACCGCACCGCACCCAACCATCCCACGAAATCCCAGTTCTACCCACCGAGGCGCGCCCACCCATCCCCGTGCCCATCCCACAACCCTCCCACCTACCTGCACATGCCAGCGCATCTCCCCAGAGTGTCAGGATGAAGCGCTGCAGTGCAGCCTGCAGCCAGCGCATCTCCTCAGACGTCTCAAAGCTTCACTTTCATCAGACGTCTAAAAGTTTCACTTTCTACACGTGTTTTCTACTCCCCAGCATGCCGGCACGAAGCGCTGCGGTGCAGCCTGCGTGCCGCCCGCACCGCACGTTCATGTGCCATCCACATCCCTCCCTACCCCCCACGCCCACCTGAATGTGCCAGCGCATGTCGCCATGCCGGGAGGAAGCACTGCGGTGCAGCCTTCGTGCCACCATGCCCAAGCCCCAGCACGTGCCACCTCTTACCTCTCACCTTACCCCATCCCCAGCCAGACCCCACACCCTCACCTGCACGTGCCAGCGCATGTCACCATGTCGGGAGGAAGCGCTGCGGTGCAGCCTGCGCGTCACCATGCCCACGGCCCCCTCCTCCGCCGCCACGAGTGAGGCATCAGCCGGGTCCAGCCCCACTGGCAGGGCGTGAGTGGTGAGCTCGAATTCTGCCAACACTGGCTTGTGGTCACTGCAATGGTTGAGTTCAAGAGGGAGTGGGAGGGTGGAGTGTGATCAAAAGGGACTAGTTGTTGGGAAAGGGTCAGCCGGGTCCAGCCCCGCTGGCAGGGCGTGAGTGGTGAGCTCGAATTCTTCCAACACTGGCTTGTGGTCGCTGCAATGGTTGAGTTCAAGAGGAGTGGGAGGGTGGAGTGCGATCAAAAGGGACTAGTTGTTGGGAAAGGGTCAGCCGGGTCCAGCCCCACTGGCAGGGCGTGAGTGGTGAGCTCGATCTGCCAACATGGCTTGCGGTCGCTGCGTGGGGGGAGAGAGAGAGACAGAGTGAGGGAGGAGTGAGAAGGAGTGTAGTGCGGTTTGAAGGCAGTAGTAAGAATGAACGCTAGCGTATGAACGCTGTACGCTTCAGGGTCTGAGCGTATATTCCAACTTAGATGCATGCGAGCTGGCAGCACCATTTGAATCACACAATCACGCCTCATCCCACCCCTCCCAACCCCTTTCTGAACCTCATCCCACCTCCCCCCCACCTGCTTCCCACGACATGAGCGACGTCGTATCGCATGCACGCGAGCTGGCCCACACCATTATAGTCGCATAGTGGGCCACGCCTTAGATGGAATTGACGCTGGGGAAGGCCAGCGTCAAGCGTCAATTCGGACCGAATTGACGCTGGACGCTGGACGGGGACTTTGACGCTTGACGGTCCCCCCAAATTTTTTCGGGCAGCCTGAAATCGGAAAAAAAAAATCGCGCAAAAAAAAATCAACATTGAAGTTCGCGCCGAAAACGCGACTTCAAAATTCACTCGACATTGCACCACACTGAAAACCCACAACACAAAAAACAACCCCCCCACCCCTTTCAACCGCTCAACAACTACAAAACGCAACCTGCAGACACACATTTAGCACAAGCAGAACTCCCGCGACTTCATTCTAGCTTTACGACCAGCAGCAAACTCGACTCCTAGCTTAGCGCGCGACATTGGGGTTAGCGTTTTTAGTAGAAAGTTAGAAACCGAACCTACCGCCATGGCTTCCTCCAACCCTAGTACATCGAATGAAGACACCCATGGGGCATCGATAGCTGGTTCTAGCGAAGGAATAAAGTACGAAGAAATGCCGGAACATTCTACATACAAGCACTTTTTATTTTTTATGGATCCTAAGAAAGGCAAGGGGAAGAGGGCGATGTGCAAATTTTGTTCCCAAGATTTCATGAAGTCCACGACGCGGTGCTCTCAGCATCTCGCGGTTTGGGAAGGTCAACCTAAGAATCGCGATGTCCTCCTTTGTCACAAAGCTCCCAAGGATGTGGTAGAGTCTATTAAGACATTGTACGAGACTAAAGGGAAGGCGAAAGAGGACAAGGGGAAGGCAACCGCCGCGGCAAAGGAGGCGATTAGTGGTGGGTTCGGTCCTAGTGGGAAGAGGAAAATTTCAGACTATTATGGTGGCGACGCGGCGGTGGCAAAAGCTAAGGCCGATGAGTCGCTCTGCCTCTTCTTCGCCGGCCTTCGTATTCCCGAGCACCATGCGGATCACCCGCTCTTGTTGGGTGATTGTGGGATGGTATTATTGTGGGATGGTATTTAAGTGGGAGTCGATGGGGGCGGATGGTGGTAATAGTAATGTTGAGAACTATGTATGCATGGTACTATTTATGAAGGCTTTTTTTGGGGGAAAAATCACATTGTTGGCTGCCCGAAGGTTCAACAACCCTCTTACCTTCCTCCCCCCCCCCCCTCGAGACCCCCCCCCCCTGGTTTTTTTTTGGGCTGCCCGAAAGTTCTGTTTTGCCTGCCCGCCAGAGCGTCAAAACCACCGTCAAACTCTCGGAGGGTTCCGTCTAGCGGAAAAAACGGACCATAAAAAACGTTCCGAAAAAAACGCTAGCTCCGTCAATTCCAACTAAGGGCCACGCGAGCGAGGTGGTGTGCAGCTCCACACCATTATAGTCGCACACCACCTCACTAAGTATCACGCCTGCTTCCCACTTGCTTCCCACCTGCTCCCCACTTGCTTCCCACCGGCTCCCCTCCCCACCCGCTCCCCACCCGCTCCCCACCACACCTGCTCCTCACCTGCTCCCCACGTCGTGGGCGGCATTGTATCGGATGCACATGCATGCCAGCTGGCAGCCGGGCAGGGAGCGCAATGGCTGTCATACCCTTACGCTCCCCCACCTCCCCCCACCCCCACCTCCCCCCACCTGCTCCCCACGTCGTGGGCGGCGTCGTATCGCATGCACGCGAGCTGGCAGCCGGGCAGCGAGCGCCAGAGGATGCGGTCGCACCACGCTGGTAACCGCTTGCTGTTGTATTTACCCACTTCGTTGCGAATGACCTGTGGAGTGGGACAGGGTTTAGGGTTTAGGAGAGGGGAGGGGAGGAGGGTGCAGCAAGGTGGCAACCAGGCAGTGAGCGCTAGAGGATGCAGTCGCACCATGCTGGTAACCGCTTGCTGTTGTATTTACCCACTTCGTTGCGAATTACCTGATGGGGAAGAAGGGGAGGGCGGTGGGAGAGGTGGGGAAAGGGAAGCCAAGGCAGCAGGGTGGCAGCCGGGCAGGGGGCGCCACGAGGGTGGGGCGGGAGTGGGAGAGGCGGGGAAAGAAGAAGCAGGGTGGCAGCTGGGCAGGGGGCGCCAGAGGATGCCGTCACTTTTTTAGTCGACTCAAAAATCGAGTTTTGATGAGTCGCTTTTTGAGCCAGAGGAAACCACGCTGGTAACCGCTTGCTGTTGTATCGGCCCACTTCTTTGCGAATGGCCTGCTGGGGAAAGGTGGGGGGAAAGGTGGGGGGAGAGGCGAGGGGAGAGGCGAGGGGAGAGGCGAGGGGAGGGATGGAAAAGGGATGTGGTGGCGTGGGGTGGGGGGGGGGTGGGGGGGGGGGAAGCTATGCACCACGCTGGCAGGCACTTGATGTTGTGGCGCCCCACCGAGGTGTGGGAGAGAGGTGACTTGGTGTGGGGGAGAGGTGACTTGGTGTGGGGGAGAGGTGACTTGGTGTGGGGGAGACGTGACTTGGTGTGGGAGAGAGGTGACTTGGTGTGGGGGAGAGGTGACTCGTGTAAGAACTTGAGCTTGGTGTGAGAGAGAGGTGACTCGGACTGAGAGAGGGGTGACTCGGACTGAGAGAGGAGAAGAAGCGGATGAAGGAATGAAGCGAAGCGACATGACGTGAAAAGGTCAGTTCTACAGAGTGGAATGAAAATATTTTTAGGCTGACCTTTTTTGGGGGGGTGTTGGGGCGGGAGGGGGGGTGGGTGAGGCGAGGGGGTGGGGGATGGTCTTGAGTCAAATCTAAGGTCAGGATTCGAGATTCGAGATTCGAGGCATAGGTGGGTGGGTGGGTGGTGGCTTGCCTTGAAGGTAGGGGCGAAGGTGATGGGCGCTTCTTGGAACTTGTAAAACACACGGCCCTCCCGAATCTCATGTTGCAGCTGCACGACTCATGGGGGAACGGCACGCGGGGGGGAGGGGGCATGCACGCGGGGGGGAGGGGGCATGCACGGGGGGGTGCCAAGGAGGGATGAGGGACAACCAGTTATGGGCGATTCTTGGCACTTGTAGAAAACTCGGCCCTCCCGAATCTCCCGCTGAAGCTGCACAGGACAGATGGGAAGGCGGCGCGCCAGGGTGGGGGCGTGAAGAAGGGACAGGAGGAAGTGAGTGGAATGGTGACGGGCCCTCTTGGCACTTGACAAAAACACACGGCCCTCCCGAATCTCCCTCTCCACCTGCATTGACTCCAAGGGGAGGCGGCACGCAAGGGGGGGTTGGGTTTGCCACGAAGTAAAGAAGAGAACTGAGGGAGGGACAGGTGACGGGCGCCTCTTGATGGTACTTCTGATGGTACTTCTCAAAAGTACCATCAACGCAAGGGGGGGTTGGGGGCATGGGGGGGAAAGGGGCATGGGGGGGAAGGAGGCATGGGGGGGAAAGGGGCATGGGGGGGAAGGAGGCATGGGGGGGAAAGGGGCATGGGGGGGAAGGAGGCATGGGGGGGAAAGGGGCATGGGGGGGAAGGAGGCATGGGGGGGAAAGGGGCATGGGGGGGAAGGAGGCATGGGGGGGAAAGGGGCATGGGGGGGAAGGAGGCATGGGGGGGAAAGGGGCATGGGGGGGAAGGAGGCATGGGGGGGAAAGGGGCATGGGGGGGAAGGAGGCATGGGGGGGAAAGGGGCATGGGGGGGAAGGAGGCATGGGGGGGAAAGGGGCATGGGGGGGAAGGAGGCATGGGGGGGAAAGGGGCATGGGGGGGAAGGAGGCATGGGGGGGAAAGGGGCATGGGGGGGAAGGAGGCATGGGGGGGAAAGGGGCATGGGGGGGAAGGAGGCATGGGGGGGAAAGGGGCATGGGGGGGAAGGAGGCATGGGGGGGAAAGGGGCATGGGGGGGAAGGAGGCATGGGGAGGGGGGGGTTGATCGCACGGAGCAGTTGAGAATGTGGGAAAAGGAAAGAAGTGAGGAGAGAGGTAGCACAGCAAGTTTGAGGCTGTGAGTGAGGGAGCGAGGTAGGCATGTGGGTACGGTTGGTTGCTGCACATGCTCAAGCCTCTTCTTTTCACCTTTTCTATCTGGGAAAACCGCACTGCACCGCTCCGTACCTCGTCGTACTCCAGCAGAGCGTCAAACTCCTTGTTTCGAATCTGCTCCAGTGTGCTCTCATGCACTGCCGCCCGCCTGCATGCATGCATGGGTAAAAGGGAGGGGTGGGGCGAAGGAAAGGTGTGCTATGAGTCGACTCAAAACTGCGTCAAACTCCTTGTTTCGAATCTTTTGAGTCGACTCAAAAGCAAACTCCTTGTTGCGAATCTGCTCCAGAGTGCTCTCGTGCACCGCCGCCCGCCCACCTACACGGGTGAAGAGAGGGAAGGGGGATGGGTATGGGTTAGGGTTCGACTCCTCTCTCCCACCCTCTTGCCCTCATGTTTTAGAGTCGACTCAAAAACAGACTCATCACACGCGGATGGGTATGGGCTAAGGGGGATGGGTATGGGCTAAGGGGGATGGGTATGGGCTAAGGGGGATGGGTATGGGCTAAGGGGGATGGGTATGGGCTAAGGGGGATGGGTATGGGCTAAGGGGGATGGGTATGGGCTAAGGGGGATGGGTATGGGCTAAGGGGGATGGGTATGGGCTAAGGGGGATGGGTATGGGCTAAGGGGGATGGGTATGGGCTAAGGGGGATGGGTATGGGCTAAGGGGGATGGGTATGGGCTAAGGGGGATGGGTATGGGCTAAGGTCAGGGTTCGACTTGTGCCCTTTTCTCCGTGTCGACTCCCCTTCCCCCACTCTCTACCCATTCCTCTCAACCTCACACTCCTCTCGCCCCCCCCACTCTCTCCGAACTCACACTCCCTTCCCTTCCCCTCCCCAGACTCACACTTGTTGCCCACCCCCTTGCTGCCTTTCTCATGGTTCCCCCCTCCTCGGAACAGCGCAAGGCTCCCTGGACTCAGCAACCCCCCTTCCCCCCACCCCCCTCCCCTCCCACACTCACGCTTGCTTCTCCAGCGATTTCTTTGAAGTCAGCGACGGCAGCGCCTTGCTGCTCTTCTCCTGGCCCGACCCCCCTCGGAAGATAGCCAGGCTGCCCGTGCTCAGCACGCGCTTGTGCCCCTCTTTCGGCGTCGACCCTCCTTCTCCCCCTCCTCCTGGCGTCGAACCCCCTTCCCCAGGTGTCATCGCCCCTCCTCCTTCTCTCATCCCCTCTCCTCCTCCTCCCAGCATCGGAATCACCTGTCCTCCAGTCACCCCACCGCCATCTCCATTCCTCTCCTCCCCCACCACTTCCCCCTCCCCAGCCCCGCCCTCCCCTTTTCCATTCCCCCTTTCCCCCACCCCCACACCCATTCCGCCCCCCTCCTCCCGCCCGTTGCAGAAACTCCCCCCAGGGGAGCACCTGAGGCTTGCACCAATCGCAGCGCCCGCTTCTCCCCCCGCCCCTGCTGCCACGTCACCACCACTAGAGCTCTTGTGCATGCGACTTGCAACCGGCTTGCCCCCCCCTCCTTTCCCACTCACTCCCGCACTGCTTGCTTCCTCTTTAATGGGGCTATTCGGGGGAGGCATTTTCCCGTTGACTTTTGTGCTGCTGCCTGGAGAAGAAGCCTTTTTCGAGCTGCCCAGATCGAGAATCGTGTTGAAGCTGCCCCTTGTTGACTTTAGAAACCCTTTTAGAATCTCCCCTGAGCTCCCGACGCTGCCCCTCTTCCGAGTCTCCTTCCGAGGTTCGGCATCAACACCGTCAGCCTCCCGAGCCTCCTGTGCCTCCCGAGCCTCCTGAGCCTTCTGAACCTCCCGAGCCTTCTGAACCTCCCGAGCCTCCACCCCAGCCTCGTCGTCATCATTACCACTGCTGGAATCTTCTTCGTCCTCTGAGCTGTCATCGTCTAATTGGTCGAGAGCTCTCCCACTGAAAGCAAGGCCGGCACGGGAAGCAGCACCAGCACCACCGGAAGCAGCAGCGGCAATGGCACGGTAAGACGCAGTAGCAGCCGCAACAGCAGCACCAGCACCAGCAGCAACAGCACCAGCAGCAGCACCAGCGCCGGCAGCAACGGCGCCAGCAGCAGCACCAGCACCAGCAGCAACAGCAGCACCGGCAGCACCAGCGGCCGCACCGGCAGCACCGGCAGCGGCAGCAGCAGAAGCCGGGAAAGACACAGCTGAGGGCAGCGCCAACGTTGAGCCACCACCACCGCCATTACCACGACCAGCAGCAGCAGCGTTGTGAGAAGAATCTAGAAGAGTCAGGCGGTAGTTCAAATCGCCCATCCAGAAGAGATGGTGGAACTGGTTCAAAAGGTCCACACTTGAAAGCCCTGGCCGCATGTTCTGTACCACTTCCCGGTAATTGTCGTTCCTCGCGCTGCACTGCCCCTCGTGCGCGGCCAAATGCGAGTTAATGAAACACAACGGAGTGTCCCAGAATCTGAGGGATACGCACACGGCGCCCTTGTTCGCTATCACGTGCCCGATTCCCGTCGCCTCGCTGGTTACCATTACATCTGTAACCGCTCGTCTGGAGGTGTCTAGGACGAGAACGACGAGGCGCATCTGCCCTCTCGAAGCGCCCTTCACCAGGCCGTATCTAGGGCCGAAATGCGCCCGGATACACGCCACCCAGTCGTCCATACACGTGGCATGCCCCGCGCGCGGCGGATACTCGCACTCCTGCGATCCGATCGCGATCAGATCGTGTCTGCCGCCCACGGGGAGCCACGGGGAGAGATCCGCCGCGGGCGGCGCGTTTCCCACGTTCCAGGAGCCAATGAAAAGCGACACGCGCTGCTCCGGGGGCGCGCGCGCCGCCACCGCCTGCAGCAGAACCCTCCCCACGATCGCGCCCTTCTTCCCCGTCGGCGCGCGGAGGTCGTACCACCGCGGTTCGACCGCCTTATCCGGATCGAGCTCGAGAAGCGACGCGACGGAGAGCGGCTCGATGGCGCCGACCACCTGCTTCAGCCCGATCGCCACCGCGCCGCGCCCCAGCGCGCAGTGTACGAGCGCGACGGACACGGTCGCGGTGGTTTCGTCTTTCACTGTGAACGCGTGCCCCTGGTTGACTTCTATTAGTCCTTCCGCCTGCCCTTCCGCGGCTTGCGCTTCCCCCGAAAGCGCTTCCTCCTGCGTTTCCGCTTGCGCTTCAACAGTCTGAGCTTCCGCTTGCGCTTCCCCGTCCGGCGCTCCACCTTTTCCATCCCCCCCCTTGCCCTTTTTTCCCCCCTTCTCCCCCGCCTTCCCCTTACCCTCCGCCGACTTCCCCTTGATCTCCTTGGTGCAAAAGTGTGAGTTTTCCACTTTAATCAGCGCCATAGTCGGCACTTGCAGAAGATTCGCAGCCTGCCGCGCCGCGTCGGTGACGTCCTTAATCGCCCCATCCTTCAAGTCTTTCACCGCCAGAACCGCCACGCTCACGCGGCACGCGCGCTGCGCTTCTGCGCTCTTCCCCTCTTCCGTCGCGCTCGAATCGGGTTGCCCGCCGTGGCCCTCGGGGGAAAGGAGGGGCGCGGCGGCGGCGGCATGCTTGGCGGCGGCGGCATGCTTGGCGGAAGCGGAAGCGGGGGAAATGCAGGGGAGGCGCGGAATGCAGGTGAGAGAGGGATGGGCGTTGCGCGCAAGAACCGCCGACTCGCTCATGATGGCTCTCCGTATTTCGCGGGGAAGGGAAAGGGGAAGGGAGGGGGGAGGGGGAGGGGGAGGGGGAGGGAGAGGCGGAGGGGGAGGGGGAGCGGGAGGGGGGAAAGTGGGGGTAAGAGGGGAGGGTGGGCGGGGGGAGAAGCGCGGTAACTTGCAGAGACGCGTTCAAAAGTAGCCGTTGCTGCTGACGGTTGAGTCGCGAGTCGAGCCAACGGCGACGCTAACGCTAACAGCCCGACACGCCACGCAGTTAAAAGGCTGGCAGCTTTGACGTTAAGTCAACTCTCCCATCGTTTGGCCTGTCCAGGTGCAATGCATCCTTGATATGCACGGGACGCGACTAGGGAAATGTGCTAACAGTGTGCGAATAACGAGTGACGAATCAGCACGCAGAAGCTGGGAGGCGGTCTGATGCGCGGACGAACGAATGAACGCACAAATGAAATGAACGAGTGAACGAACGACCGCTGCGAAATGGGATTGCTGGATGCTAGCTACCCTCACTTCGTTTGCGTGCCAATACAAGCACTACAGTTCCTGACTTCTCGAAACAGCTACTGTCGATGCTCACCTAGTCCCGTGAAATTTGCTCGTCCCATCTCAAAACTTTTCCCTCGTGCATTCGTGGACGGACAACGGCCCCTCATGTGGAGTCACATCAGTAGATCGTAACCGTCGATCGAACTGCTTATCACGCTGTCAACCATCCCTTCGTCAGATATTTTGAAAACGGTGCATGGTGATTCGTCAACCCCTCCACTTGCGCGGTGTCGGATGTGCCTCCATTGGTAGCAGAGTCCACCGCGCAAAGCCCACCACGTGGCATGCGTCGTGGCACGATGACGTTTCGTGGGTGCGTATCATCCGGCGCAGGCGATTTGGCTGTGAAATTCCCGCCAACAATCATGTAACATCCTCAACTATCATCACCCCCAACGTGAAGCCACCCCCACGGTTCAAAGTATCCACATTCCACCCCCTCGCAGTCACGTATACATTGCTTTTTACACAATGTCCGCTTCACAGGAAGAAGCCCATGGAACCACCGCACCTACCGCTGCTCCCGTTTCTGCAAACGCTGCGGTGCGTCGTCGTCGTGCAACTGTCGACAATACCACTGCTCGCCGCTTAGACGTGATAGATCTCGACCAAGTGATTGCTCGTGTTCCCGCACATAACACCCTGCTCAACGCCAACGACGGCACGCTGGCGTATTTTGACGCCGGAGAAGTTGACTGTGACGTAGAAGACACTGCCGACGAAGATACCGACCCTGCAATGACAACAGACAGGTCCCGCAAGGAGGCGCAAGAGGTTATGCAGCTGGCGTGGATTCGCCACAACTACGACGCGCAGTATCGCGGCCAGACCCGCCTGCAAGGGACCCGCCCGCCAGACCCGCCGAGACGTGATGTTATTCGAGAAGATGCGGGAGCGCCACCCTGAATTCCGCCATAATCTGGCCGATGTGAAGGCAAAAGTATTCCGCATGGAGGCGCAGTATAGGCCTATGGGGGATCTCCTGCTCAATGCATCAGGCAAGGGCCGCCCCCCGAAGATGCCCATCTTCTACGACATCTTCGACAGAATCTTGGGGGATCGCGCGAATGCTCGTCCGCCCGCGCTTGCCGGTAGCCTGCCTGGTGCTAATGTCGTGAACTTGCCGTCAACCAGCACCACGGCAAGTAAGTATGAAGTTTTGGAGTTTCTGGAATCTTTGAATGTCAATAAGCTGATACTGTCATAAGGTAGTAGCTGCTTAACAATCATCGATTCACAGCTAAAAACTTTAACCCCGAACCACACTGCTGAGCCACATTAACCCCTCCCTCTACACCCCCACCCCTTCACATTCGTCATTGCAGCTCGTGCCGTACCTACTCCAACGGCCACGGCAACAGCGATTCAAGACGCTGCATCTGCGGCGCCAATTCGGTCGAGGGCAAGGCTTCGCACCCCTTTGCGCCAGCGCACGGCATCCTCGTCGAGTGGATCCCCATCGAACCCGCCGCTAACTCCGCCGCTAACTCCGCCGCCAGCGTCCCGGGTGTCGGATGACGAGCCCACAGATGCCGTCGCGACGGCCTCTCCCGTCCGCTCACACGTCCTCGGTGCGCGCACGGGAGCTTCGCTCCGTGGGCGTGGTGTCAACCGTCGGCCTGGGCCTGCGACTGGAAGCGAAGTGAACACAGGCAATGACCCGGGTGAACATGCATTGGGAATTATGATGAATGCTAGTGATTCAACATTGTGCAGGGAAATAGTTGGAATAATTGCTCAGTCAGTGACACGTGCCATGCAGGAGCAATTTGCCGCATTCATGGATCGTACCCAAGAGTTGGTTGAGTCTGCTCAGGATGTCCGAGCCTCCAGGAAACGTAGAGGCACGCCGCCATCCGAGCGCGACGACGAGTCGGAGTGAAGCCTTTGTCCCGCGGCGAGAAGTGCGGCATTTCGGCTGCGGGGCCGTGCTGCCACCAGGTGTTGCGCTCACGCGGAGGGAGAAGCCGAGGACGGGGGCCGAGAAGCAGATCGATATTGTGTAGAACGATGCAGGCAGAGACGTACTGGGGGGCGTGGAAAATGTCGCACTCCAAGCGCCCGTCCAGCATCCGCCAGCGCGTCTTCAGCCGACCGTTAACCTACTCGACAATCATCCTGGTGCGGGATTGCTGCAAGTTCCACACGCGCTGCTCGTCCGGGAGTCCGCGCCCGGGCAGCGCCCTGTAGGGGGTATGGATGTAGTCCCGTAGACCATAGGCCGCATCGGAGACTATTACATAGTCGTAGAGACCGCCCAGTTCAATCTTGTGTCTTGCCGGGCTGTGCTGGAAGACCCGAGCGTCGTTGACGCTTCCCGGCCATCCGACGTAGAAGTCGTAGATGTAGCCACTGCAGTCACATATGAGTTGTGCAATTATGCTGAAAGTTCCCTTCCTATTCCTGAAATCTTCGCAATGTGGCCCCTGACCACGGCAGTGAACATAGTGTCAGAATGTATTTGTTGTTTAGCCTGTAGTGGGGTACTCTGTAGTGAGTACAACCCAATTTAGGGTTTGCTATTTGTATCCCAACTTCCTATAGTGAAACCATATCTTTCTCGATTCTCCCTTGTTCAATTCCTCTCGACACTCTAACCTAGTTATGGCTCCTAAGTCACGGTAGGATCCTTACATGGTATTAAGAGCAATAGTTCCTAGGACCTAACATCAATGGGCCCACCACCTAATGCCCTGCTAGCCTAGGCCCCAGCCCGTCGCCCCTTGGCGTAGCCCCTAGCCCCTAGGCTCGGCCCCTTGGCCCCGTCGCCCCTAGCTGTGACACTCGGCCCCGTTGGCCCCGTCGCCCCTAGCCGCGCCCCTCGGCCCCGCTGGCCCCGTTGACTCCGTTGCCCCGCGCCCGGCCCGTACTTAGCCCGCGATCGGCCCGTACCTAGCCCGCGCTCGGCCCCGTTCCTAGCCCCGCGCCCGGCCCGTACCTCGCCCGCACTTGGCCCCGTACCTAACCTCGCGCTCGGCCCCGTTCCTAGCCCCGCGCCCGGCCCGTACCTAGCCTCGCGACCGGCCCGTACCCTGCCCGCGCTCGGCCCCATTCCTAGCCCCGCGCCCGGCCCGTACCTAGCCTCGCGACCGGCCCGTACCCTGCCCGCGCCCGGCCCCGTCTCTCGCCCGCGCTCGGCCCGTACCTAGCCCCGCGCCCGGCCCGTACCTAGCCCAGCGCACGGCCCCGACCCTAGCCAGCGCCCAGCCCGTACCTAGCCCGCGCCCGGCCCGTAACCAGCCCGCGCCCGGCCCGTACCTAGCCAGCGCCTGGCCCTGTACCTCGTCCGCGCCCGGCCACGTACCCTGCCCGCGCCCGGCCCCGTCTCTTGCCAGTGCCCGGCCCCGTACCTGCCCAGCGCCCGGCCCCGTACCTGCCCAACGCCCGGCCCCGTACCTGCCCAGAGCCCGGCCCCGTGCCTGCCCAGCGCCCGGCCCCGTACCTGCCCAGCGCCCGGCCCCGTACCTGCCCAGCGCCCGGCCCCGTTCCTGCCCAGCGCCCGGCCCAGTACCTGCCCAGCGCCCGGCCCCGTACCTGCCCAGCGCCCGGCCCCGTACCTGCCCAGAGCCCGGCCCCGTACCTGCCCAGCGCCCGGCCCCGTACCTGCCCAGAGCCCGGCCCCGTACCTGCCCAGCGCCCGGCCCCGTACCTGCCCAGCGCCCGGCCCCGTACCTGCCCAGCGCCCGGCCCCGTACCTGCCCAGCGCCCGGCCCTGTACCTGCCCAGCGCCCGGACCCGTACCTGCCCAGCGCCCGGCCCTGTACCTGCCCAGCGCCCGGCCCCGTCCCTGCTGAGCGCCCGGCCCCGTACCTGCCCAGCGCCCGGCCCCGTACCTGCCCAGCGCCCAGCCCCGTACCTGCCCAGCGCCTGGCCCCGTACCTGCCCAACGCCCGGCCCCGTACCTGCCCAGCACCCGGCCCCGTCCCTAGCCCAGCACCCGGCCCCGTACCTGCCCAGCGCCCGGCTCCGTCCCTAGCCATGGCCCCGTCGCCCCTAGCCATGGCCCCTCGCGACCTGCCGCCCCTAACCGCGGCTCCGGTGCCCTGTTGCAACATGGTGGGTGAGAGGGTGGCAAGAGGGGGTTCCTCCTGCCCGCGTGCCCTACAGTCGCACGCGCATCTCCGCCCCCGCCCCCGCCCCCCTCCCCCCCCCCCCCCCCCTCCATGGGGATGGCGGGGAGAGGGTGTGAGGGGGTGGCGGATGTGCCTCAGCAGCAGCAGCTGCCGCCACGCCTCCTCCTCTCTCTCTCCCTGCCGCACCTTGTGTTGGGAGAGGGGGGGGAGCTTGGAGGTTCAGGGGGAGGCAGGAGGGGATCTGCAGCACCAGGCCCCCCCCACCCTTCTCCTACCTCTCCCTGCTGCGGGTGCAGCAGACGAGGGGAGGGGATCTGCAGCACCGGCCCCCCTCCCCCCCCCCCTCATCCTTCTCTTACCTCCCCCTGCTGCGGGTGCAGCAGTGGGGGTTAAGCGATCTGCCATCCATGGCACCTACGACACCAGGAATACCCGCCTCATTACGAAACTCACGCTCAAAGACTTGACACATTTCAAAGTCCGGCCAGATGACCCACTTCTCCAGTAAGACTCTGTTGACGGAGTCAAGAAACTGCGTGAACAGTTTCTGGGCGTGAGAGTAGGAATACCCGAATTGCAGACCGAGTTGACGAAATGAAAGTCCATGTCGAGTCGGTTAAGTCCCAACGCCACAAAGATGAAGTCGTGGACGGGATGCGTTTGCGTTGAGGAGCTGCGGAGCTGGTACTGACGCACAAGGTAAATGAACACACGCCTGTCCACGCGCATGTACTCGTAAAATGTAGACTCTGGCAGCAGGGTAATCAGGTTGAACCACCGCACGCGGGCATCGAGGCGATCCTCACGGATGAACACACGGGTCTGTCGCAGAGTGAATGCGGCGACGAGCGAAGGGATGGCTGCACCAATGGCGGAGAGAGCAGGTAGCAGGAAACATCGCATGTAACCTTGAAGCACAATTCCGAGAAAGCACACAAGTTGAATCAGAGTCATTGTGTGATGCTGAGTTGGAGACCTGACCGAGCACTCCGATATTTGTAGCGTGCTCAACTGTCCCTTGAGCAATGTCGAGGTGGAGGTCTAGCGTTCACTTTTTTTAGCAGCGATTCGTTGACGTGTCGCGCTGTCAATATACGAATACCGGGTAACCTACGCACCCTATAGGCGGCTCGGTTCCCCCCCTGTAATCTCGAACCTGCAAATTCGCACTTTCGTGTGTGATTGTGAATCTACAAGCATTGTCACCTGCGGTTCGAACATTGCCAATGCTCAAAGTCGAGTCATGTTCAAATGCTTAAATCGAGTCAAAAACATAAAATTATGGCAAAATCAAAAATCACACACGCCCTTACTGCGCTGTCCTTGCTGCTTGGTTAAAGCGACGGTGCACATTTGCCACCCAAAACCCAGAAACCTGGCGAACTGTTACTGCGGATGGAAAGTGTCCGCACGAAATCCTGGTTTTCGCCAGCCAGCACTTTCGCGCTGGCAAGCCTGGTTCAAAAAAAAATCTTCTGAACCCAACACTGCCAAAAGTTGCCCGTCGCTTTAAGGATGGAAGCGGGAAAATGAACCAAGAGGGAGAGGTGTCAGAGTGAAGAAACAATGTTATGTGATCATGCGGTGGTGTGCATTTTCGAAGTTTATGCTCTAACTTCACAACGTTCAAGTAGGGTTTCAAGCATTAGACGAAAACCAATGGCACGAAAACCAATGGCAGGTAGGTGCTCTTTTTGAGAGTCACGTTCATCCACTTGATTTCTAGTGCGCCTCGGTGGTTTTCACACGTTTCAAAGCGGTCCAACCGCGTTACCGTTCTGGAACACAACGCGCCAGACAGAATCATTATAACACGCGGGGATCTTGGAGTACACACACTTAGTGTTATTGTACAAGTGATGCTCATTTGAGTAGACAACTCTAGCCTTACTCATTGAGCGTTTAAATGATTCTTGTGTTTCGCCAAGGTTTCGTCAATTCGCACCTAGCAAAAAAGGGCTTATAAAACAATTGTAACTCTTCATTGACTGTTTGACTTCGGTCACTTCACTTTGACTTTGGTTTCTGTGGTTACTACAAATGTTCTGGGTTAGAGGCCCTCGCTAAAAGAGTCCCTTTTCCCCCGTGAATAGAGTTTTCCGATATCGCCTAGGATTGGCCCGACCCCTATACTCCCTTTTTCGGCGGGAAATTTTGCAGCTTGACCGAATCATTGCACGAATCAGCTCTGCAGCAAATCAGAGGCTCCAGATTGAACCAGCCCAACATTCAGGGAAAACGATAAATAAGGGATCATCGATTCGATAATTAACTTTAGAATTGTAAGTAATTGTTTCTCTTGACCGTGATTACTTTTCAATCCTGTCGCGTGTGAAAATGAACGAGGAATGAAATGACTAAGGGAAAGTTGGGTACAAGTACAAACCCTAGAAAGCTGTACCCCATATGTGCTACCCCACTATAGCCTACAGCAGCTAAGTCATATAAATCTGACACACCCCCATAGGCAAAGTGGGGGAGGACAAGGGGTCACAAGACCAGTCAAGCAAAGCAAAGCAAGCTCAGGGTGGATCACAACGTCACCACACATTCCGAGCACAAGTTCAAGGCCACAAGGCCAGTTCACATGCAGGATTACATATATATATAAGGCTAAACAAGCAAGAGCAGGTGTATATATATATGTAACAGTACAAACAAGGTCAAGGGGTGAGCAAGTGAGGCAAGGTAGGCACAAGACCCAGCTGAGTACAGAAGCGCTGATGATCACAAGGCGCAAGTGCCTTGGTGAAGATATCAACAGTGTTGGCCTGAGAGGCCACGTACGCAAGGCGTAGCTGACCACGCTGCTGTAGCTCACGAGCAAGGAAGTAGCGAAGAGCAATGTGCTTCGTTCTGTGCTCCAGTCTCTGCTCCCGACACAAGGCCAGCATGGCCTTGTTGTCTACGTACAGCACTGGAGGAGAACGAGGCGGCTCTCTGAGGTCAGTCAGCAGGTAGGTGAGCCAGCAAAGCTCCTGTGCAGCCATGGCCCCTGCGTAGATCTCAGCCTCACAACTGGAGCCGAGAACAGAAGACGAGCGGGTAGCCCGCCACGAGACAGAGCCGGAACCAAGGCTGAAGGTGTAACCCTGTGACGACCGCTGCGTAGCCTGGTCGTCAGCCCAAGAAGCGTCTGCGTGCCCAGTGAGGACCACTGGACTCTGCCCTCCAAGCACAAGCCCCATGCCCGACGTACTGCACAAGTAGCGCAACACCCTCTTCGCTGCGGCCATGTGCTCCGGTCTGTGTCTCCCAGGAGCAACATAGCGTGTGAGAATGCTAAGAGGGTATGCAAGGTCAGGTCGAGTGCAGGTCATCAGGTACATGAGGCAGCCGACAAGCTCTGGGTACGGGCCACTCGACTCTACGGACTCATCCGAAGGCAGAGCTGAGAGCGAGTGGCGAGTAGACAGAGGAGTGGCCTGAGGCGAGGAGTACGTGAAGCCGAAGCGCTGAAGGACCTGCTGCACCATGTGTGACTGAGTCAGGGTAATAATGCGGCGTGCTCTGTCCCGGGTGATCTGCAAGCCAAGGTAGCTGTGCAGTTCACCCAGGTCTGTGCACGTGTGTCTCTTCTGCAGCTCGGACTTCACGTGGGCGAGTCCAGCAGTGTCAGCTGTGGCAAAGACCAAGTCGTCGACGTACACGAGGATGTAGAACGGCGGCAAAGAAGTGTCGGTGCGCAGAAACAGCGACGGGTCGGCAGTAGAGGGAGCAAACCCAAGAGCCGCAAGCGTAGTCCTCAGTGTGTCGTGCCACTCACGCGGTGCCTGGCGGAGACCGTAGACTGGCCGCCGGAGGCTCCACTGGGTGCCAGGAGGAAAATTCCCAGTGAAGCCAAGTGGGCGGCGCAGCCAGATCTCCTCGTGCAGGCTGCCCTGCAAGAAAGCAGTGCTGAAGTCAAGAGAGTGTAGCTCGTAGTCACGGTGAGCAGCTATGTGCAGCAGTACCCGAAGAGTGGTCATCTTCGGGGTGGGAGAGAAGGTCTGAAAGTAGTCAACTCCCTGCCGCTGACTGAATCCACGAGCCACGTAACGCGCCTTGAAGACAGGCGGAGAACCCGACGGCCGCTTCACCCTGAAAATCCACATGCCACTGACGATGTTCGCCCCAGGCGGGGGAACCTCGTCAACGTAGGTGCCTGTGGACTTCCAGGAAGCCATCTCTGCGTCCATAGCTGCCTGCCACTGAGAGGAGTAGGGACCCTCTATCGCCTCCGCGTAAGAGCGCGGAGTCGGGATGTCAAGTGCATCCGGGTCTCCCTCAGGGGTAAGCAGTACGGACACGAGATGAGGTGAAGCAGCAGCCAAACACTGGAACTCCTCCTGTCTGTCCTCAAGGACGTCCGTGCCAAGGGCACACTCACCCCCGACGGACGGAGGACAGACAGACTCAGACGCAGCAACAAGACTAGCAGCGTAGTCTAGACGACAGCGAGCAGCAAAGTCGACGAGCTCAGCAACTAGGGCAGACGCAGCAGTGGACTCAAAGGAAGGGTCAGTGACAACAGTAGCAAGGAGACGCGTGACAGTCGGACTGGCAGCACGAAGGGAGTCCGACTCCGGGTCAGCAAGAGCAGGAAGAGAGGACTCAGGAGGAGAAGGCAAAGGGGCACGCAGAGGAGCAGTGGACGGACGGAGAGACATCCGGTGCGTGCCGGGCACAGGGGGAGGACGCTGACGCGAACCACGACCACTAGCGCGAGCAGCACGGACAGGCGACGCAGGCTCACGACGCTCAGCAAGACCTCCAGTAGGACCAGTGTAGGGAGAAGGAGCAGGCAGTGGGGAGGCCGGCTGTAACTATAACTGTGACGGGACAGGCTGTGGACACTCTAAGGGAGGAGGAGGACCAGTAGAAGGTGGGAGACCAAGAACCTGCTCAAGAAGCGGAACGAAGTACGG